CTTTCCCGCCATAGGTTCTCTGCAATTTCAGCTTCTCAAAACCATAAATGTTTAAGGAAAAAATGTGCTGACTCCAACCCTGTAATTTTCTCACTGGGGAAGGAGCTGAGGCCTATTAGGCCAGCTCTTGGGGACGAGTGGGCGACAAGAGGCCGGGTTCCTGGACGCTCCCCTGTGCAGGGCGCCAGCTCTCCCCAGAAAGACTTGAAGATCTCAAAGCACTTTAAAAGACAGTGGAACAGGTCAACTCCTGTATCGGGTGGTAAAACCAGACAGGAAAGTCCCCCCTGCACACCTTTTTTTTCCCCCCCCTCTGCACACCTTTAACAGGCACATAACTGAAGGTGAAAATAAAATCCCTCGCCCCAACTCTTTCTGGTTGGTTACTTTGGTTACCAGGGAATTCAGCTTTGATTGTGCCTTGGGTCTGGAGTATGTCTTGGCCCTGATTTGAGGGTCAGTACTTGCTAAAGAGCCACTCACACCCACCCAGTATCTGGTGTGCAATGGCGAATCAGAAGTTGGTGCTTCCAGAATAGTGGGCACCTCTGGGCAACTGGCAACCGGTGACTCCTCTGGGTGGGGTCCCTTCCCCTTGGGAGGAGCCCTCTGCCAGTGCTGGGCCACAGGCTTCAGCCCTGATGGGACTGTTTCTCAAAACCAGACCGCCCCAGTCTGTGTTTAGGAGGGCAGAATTTACAGGCAGACCCCAGGGAGACGGGGGAAGGAATTAACCTGTCTCCTGCCAGATTCTGGGCTCTTTTTGTGTGAGGCCCAAGGCCCCCTTCCTCATGGAACCCTGGCCTGGTGAACCCCTCACCCTTTGGCTTTCAGCTCCAGGGCGGCCTCCTCCAGGAGCCTCTGGCCCTCCTGCAGCTGCTCAGCTGTCCGAGCTCCCTGCACGTTTCCTTTGTTGTAGTTTGTAACTGGACACTTATCTGTGTGGTCGTCTGATGGACCATGGGCTCCCCGGCTAGCCTGTGCATGCCACCCTTTATTATCCTGTATCCCTAGTGCCTGCATGTGGGAGGGACTCAACAAATCTGTTTGTTTAGAGAAAGTTAATAGAGTGGAGGTGAGGTACCAAGGCTGAGGCAGAAAAGATGCAGAGGGATAAGCCACTAAGAGGCTGAGGGGCAGGGTGGGGTGGCCTGTAGAGGGCCCTACTGTCGTCAGGGTTGACAGCCACAGAACTTGAGTGCTGGTACTGAAGGCCCCAGGGAAGCTGAGAAAATCTGCATTTGGGATAAACCTGTTCTCTTTCAAACTCAGACAGGAAATTTAAGGTCCTCTAGCCTGGACACAGGGCAGAGGCAGAAACACAACTGGGTATCAGAATGGTTTCATGCCCTCCTTTAAGGACGAAGCCATTTGGGCTGACAGATGTGGCTGTCTGGGCTCCACTTTGCTGCTGATTTTGGGGGATCACCAGGCTTTCCCCAACAGGGGTCGCATAGCCCAGCCTCTGCTGACTGGGGTGCAGTTTTCTGGGTCTCTGTGGATGGGCTGTGGCTTTTCATTTGGGCTCTGTGCATACTGGAAGGAGAGCTGTGTGCACCTCATGGGCTGTCCCCAACCAGGACCCAAACCTGGGTCCGGAGTCTCTGCAACACCCTTGGAGGTACCCGAGACCGACCGAGGAACCCCTGATTCTGCTGGGCTGTGTCAGAAGGTAGAGCATGAGTTGGGAGTTGCCAAGGCGAGGGCTCCCCCTTACTAGCAGCAGCGTCTTGACCAAGCTGCATGGCCTTTCTGAGCTCCCGTGTTTTCAACTGTACAATGGGAGGCGGGATTTGATGCGGAGGTGTCTGTGAAGCACTTCTGAGCAAGTGCCTGCCGCGTGGGGCTGCTGTGGACACCATGCGGCAGCGTACACAGAGAAGGCTGGGCGGTAGGTGCCGCGCCATGTCGGCGGCTCAGATGGTGTGAGGCTCACCCCTGGCTTTATGGGTCTCCTTGTACAACTCCAGGTTTCAAAACCACGGAGCAGAGACACGGAAAGCTGGGCCTGTCTCGTCCCCTGGTGGTCGGCATCTCTCGTGTGCTTCCCCAACCAAACACCTGACTGAGCAAGGCACGGCTCCAGGAGCAGAGGAGCCACTGGAGTTGCTGATTCGGCTGCAGGGGACCTGGCCACTGCTCTCCACAATGGGGACTTCCTGGACTCGGGGGCTCTGGAAACAGGGCTAGGAATGCTTCTGATTCAGCACTGTGCCCTCAAAAGCCACTTTGAGGACTAGTGGCCTCTTGGCTGGGCTGCGGGGAGGCCCTGGCCCACCCCCGCTCGCTGGCCCTCGAAGGATGCGGCCTCTGCTAGACTGTGGCCAGGCCCTGTGGGTGGAGAGTCTGCTGAGCAGGCAACACAGGCCTGGCCTTTCCAAATCAGACGCCTGAACACTGGCCGCCATTCCAGGCTGACGCCAAACCAGGAAACTGGCCAAAGGGCACCCGCCCCACTAGAACCTTCTCCCCTCTTCCGTTCTTGGCTCCCCACCCAGCACGGCTCAGTAAGACATGGCTCGGGAAGGTACCAGGCAAATGCATGGGCCCTCCGGGCAGACCTGGCCCTGTAGGGACATGGGAACCCAGGTGCTGTCTCCTGGATGGACCTGGGAGGCGGTGGGCTGGCCTGGAAGTTGGCATTGCGAGGCAAGGGAATGATGGTCCTCCAGAGACCTGCCACCCTGGGACAGAGCTGATGCCTGTGGCCGGGCAGCTGTGATGGGCAGTTGCTCAAGCGCTCTGACGCTCTCTCTTTCCAGGGATCAACAGGTGGGTCCTGGGTTGAGAGTGAAGCACAAGCTGCCCAATGGGCCGGCCCCTCACCAGGAGGGGAGCTATTTCAGTGTCTGCAGAGATGTGGACGGGCAGGCTGGCCTCAGGCTTTCACCGTCAGGCGGCATAACAAATGGGGGCTCGCATGCTGGCCCCGCAGGCCTGCCGAGGATGCCCCACAACGGGAGCGGATACCCAGGAGGGTCTGGCCATCAGTTACCGACTGGAACTGCCTCGCTACCCGACAGCCAGGCTAACAGCCCTGCATTTCTGAGACAAAAAGACATGTTGTTGGCACCGTGCAGGGGATGGTGGCGGTAGGGATGGAGGGGCTGAGGGAGACCAAGAAAAACGAAGGTGTGCACCGTGGACCTGAGCCTCGGGGGAAGGTGCTGAGCCGAAGCCCCAGGGCTGTTCAGGGGAACATCTGCATACATGGCCCGATTTTGATAATGTGGCTCTTTGCTGGTTTCGGTTTTAGGCAGAGAAGTGTACGGCTCATTTGTTGGCTTAACTGTGGGCTGTGCCTCCTTAAAAATGGAAGAGAGGTGTAGCTACTGACACCAGGATGAGACCTTTCATGCCAAATGTAATGTTAGGTATCACGTGTTTGGGTGCACACAACACGGACAGAAACGTGCACAGGCAGGCAGCACATGGGTGCAACACAAGCACACAGACGCACAACCCTGCACTTCGGCCCCAGAGCCAGCACAAGACCAGGCTTCAGAGGGGCTGAGGGGGCTCTTGGCTTCTGGAGGAAGCTCTGTCTGAATTTCCCTGCTACGAGCCTGGGAAGGGCAGCGACAACTGCTCGGATATGCAGCCAATCTTAAACGGGCTCAGAAACAGCTCAGAGAGGGCTGTCATCTCCCCAGCTGGGGCACAGAGAGGGGCAGGTGCTGAGCGGAAGAGAGTCTGAGTGAGGTGGCTTGAGGGTGACCTTGCTGCCTGGGCCTCATGAATGTTTTATTTTAAAATATATTTTTTTATTGAATTCAGAGAGGAAGGGAGAGGGAGACAGAGATAGAAACATCAATGATGAGAGAGAATCATTGATCAGCTGCCTCTGCACACCCCACAATGGGGATCAAGCCTGCAACCTGCACATGTGTCCTGACTGGGAATCAAACTGTGACCTCCTGGTTCACAGGTTGATGCCTAACCACTGGACCACACCGGCTGGACATAGGCCTCATGAATATTAATGAGATGGAGGTAATGGGTGCTCGTGGGAGGAGGGTAGGGGTACAGGTGTTCCTGAGCCACAGGCACAAAGGCCACGCTGGCTTAACCCTTTGCTAGGGACTGCAAAAGCTAAACAGGCCAGAGAGAGGTGTGGGCACCCAAGGAGACCTCTGCCCCTGGAGGGGAGGGAACAGTGGCTCGTGCCCTCACATCGCTTTGTCATGACCCATCAATCTACGGTTTAACAAGAGTTACGTGAGGGGCCCCTGAAGTAGGATGGTGAGGGCTCCAGAAGGGACCTTGCAGGAAGAGGCAAGGACACCGAGAGTCCCCAAACGGGGTGTGGAGCACACACACTCTCAAGGCATCGCTGCCACCCCAGCTCGAGCCCTGTCCTCTGGCTGCATTTTGAGGCCATACTGTTTAGGAAACAAGCCTGGGTTCATACACAGTGCAGGGAGGCACTCATGTGTGAGGGCTCAGGGCAGCTGAAAACATGGGCTGGGGGGACACCCACTCACATGTCCCTTCCTGGGCTCCCTGCTCATGAGGTCTGTCTGCGACACTTGTGTAAGTTACAGGAGGCGAGATATGACTAGCACATCCTGACTGACTCTCAAACGGGCAGCAGGTGCACCCATGGTCTCAGACGACTACACTACACCAAACATTTAAAGAGGAAACAGGTATGCTATAAAGGGAAAACAATTAGTAGGGACGTGGTTCTTTTGCCAGCCCTCCTGTGATACCTATGACTTTGGAGGTGATGAGGGTAGATTTAGGCTTGGCCTGCCTCTGGTCCTCCCCCTGCAGCTCTGTGGTCAGGGACGGCCTTTCAGTGGACCAGCCTGCAAAGGGAGTACTTCCTACCCTGCAGGGAGCGACATCAGCCAGCCTGGGGGCAGTGCTGTTAGAGAACACGGAACCCTAAGTGACAGTGTCCCAACAAGGTGGTGAGGAGCTGGGTATCAGAGGTCTTGGCGTCGAGGAATCACAGGCTCCCCAAACACCCCCGCACTGTGTCACTGGGCCAATACCTGATGGGCTCTGGGCAACAGAGGAGGTGGACGAGGAGCTGGCACCTCCTGAGTCGCAGTGGCTGGTGCTCCCGCTGCCGCTGGGGCTCCCGCTGGCAGATGGCGAGGGCGACGACAGGGATGGTGAGCTGTGCTGGTTTATGCACTGGGCCACGGCAAAGCCTGTAAGACAAGTGGAGGGTGACGTGACCAAGCGGGAGGAAACCAGCCGGCCTGGTGGGAGGGGTCCCAACTGTGTGTGGGACCCTCTAGGGCAGTGGTTCTCAACCTTCTGGCCCTTTAAATATAGTTCCTCATGTTGTGACCCAACCATAAAATTATTTTCATTGCTACTTCATAACTGTAATGTTGCTACTGTTATGAATCGTAATGTAAATATCTGATATGCAGGATGGTCTTAGGCGACCCCTGTGAAAGGGTCGTTCGACCGCCAAAGGGGTCGCGACCCACAGGTTGAGAACCGCTGCTCTAGGGCAAGCCCCCACCTCAAAGGTGGGGCGGGGCCTTTGTGTAAAGGCCACGCTAACCAACTCAAACCCAGCTCCTTGAAGGTCCAGGTCAGCTCCCCAGCTAGCAAAGGTGGGGCGGGGCCTTCGTGTAAAGGCCACGCTAACCAACTCAAATCCAGCTCCTTGAAGGTCCAGGTCAGCTCCCCAGCTAGGGCAGGGTTGTGAGCTGTAACTTGGAGGGCTTGACCTGGTTCAGCAACATGTGTGCTGTGCCCTTGAAGGGACATGCAGCCAGAGAACTTCAGCGGCATCCTGGAGAAGGTCACACAGGGACGTGGACCTTTGCTAATGCGCCATGCTATCAAAGGCAGGGTACCAGACCCAAACTCTGAAGCCACACTGGATGGGAGGGGAGAGCCCCCAACATGCCCATGCCATAGAAGTGGCTCTGCCCTGGCGGGTCTGGGGATTTGGTATGGGAGATATGAAAGCCCTGGTGACAAGCCACCAATTACAATCATGCACCGAAAAAGGACGTTTCAGTCAACGATGGTGGTCCCATAAGAGTATAAGGAATGCCCAGCCTCGGTGGTTGAGCGTCGACCTATGAACCAGGAGATCATGGTTTGATTCCTAGTCAGGGCACATTCCTGGGTTGCGGGCTTCATTCCCAGGGTGGGGCGTGCAGGAGGCAGTGGATCAATGATTCTCTCTCATCATTGATGTTTCTATCTCTCTTTCCCTTCCTCCCTGAAATATATATATATGAAGAGTATAAGGAGCTGCGAAATTCCTGTCACCTACTAACATCATAGCCATCATAGTGCAATGCGTTCATTATGTGCGATTTGTGACGACCCTGGTGTAAACAAGCCTACTGGGCTGCCAGCCGTGTAAACTACGTACAGTACATGACTCATATTGATAACAGACAACTATGCTACTGGTTGATGGATTTACTATACTTTTTATCCTTAGAGAGTAGTCTTTCTACTTGTAAGAAGTCTGCAGTAGCCGTGTTGACCTTGCCTCTTGACTGCATCCTCTTCTCGTGCTCGATGGAATTTCCTGCTGTTTTGTGCAGTAACACGCTGTACGGGCTTGCAGCCTGGGCGCCACAGGCAGTACCTGACAGCCCAGGTGTGTAGCATGTGCACTCTAGGTGCTCGTCCAGTGATGAAACTGCCTAATGACACATTTCCCAGAACAGACCCATTGTTAGGTGGCGTGTGACTGTACAGTTCACACGGCCCTCAGCAACTCTGGGTTCGGCGATGGGATGACCCATTTCTAGGGCCTGGGGCCTTCCCAGAACAGGGAAGTAGACGAGCCCCATGTTTTGGAGTCTGGGCAAATCCTGCTTCACCACCCAGAAGCCCCAGAACATGTGCCCAGTGTTACTTCCCAACTGCTAGCTGGGGTGTCTCGCCAACTTCCCATCACCCCACTGTGGGGGGTGCAATGAGAGAGCGTCATCAAACTCCTGCAGGGCGTGGCGAGTGGCGAGCACAGCGTGCTCTTTACAACGAAGGAGGCCCCTCTGCGTGAGCCCACCAGGAGCCCCTCCTCCAGGGGATATGTGCTTTTTGTCCTTTATACAGCCTGCTTTTCTAAAGGGCCATAGCTTCTGATTTTATCCACGAAATCCACGAACGCTCCCATGGAGCAAAGGCCTCCTCAGTGGTCCCAGGAGCCTGGACAGCGCAGCTGGTTCCTGCTTAGCCCGGGGAGCTGGACAGGAACACACACAGGTGGCTGTGGGCCCCACTGCTTTCCTCAGTGATTCAGAAGCGGCACTGAGTCGGGGAGGGGAGGGGAGGGGCAAGCCCTCCTTCCAGCTGAGAGTGGGATCCGGTCCTCCTGGCCGGTCACATCAAACCTCTCCTTCGCTCCCTGGGTGCACTCACCCGGGCCAGCCCTAGACCTCACTCACTCACCTGCACTGCCTGAGCCTCACATCACCTAGCTCCTGCGGACACTTCTTCCAGAAGGTTCTCTAGGCCCTCAGAACTCAGGAAGGTAGCAGGGTACTGAGCAGGGGTCAACAAACTACGGCCCGGTGACTGGTAAGTAAAGTTTTATTGGCACAGCCATAATCCTTTGCTTACATATTGTCCGTGGCTGCTTTTGAGCTATATCAGCGGTGCTAAATAGTTGCCATAGAAACTACATGGCCTGAAATATTTTACTCTCTGGCCCTCAACCGAGTCTGGTAGAGGATGGAGCAGGGTCTCTGGCACCAGGAAGCTGGGGTTTTATTCCTGATCTATTCCTATTACCAGTGATGGGGCCTGGGCAAGTCTGCACTTCCCTGAGCCTCCCTTCACCCACCAATGGGTGGACACAGGGCCTGTGGGGGTGGTGTGTGCAAGGCGACCTGCTGCTCTATCCCCTATTAGGACTTAGTGGGACCCCATGGAGGGGCTATTTTGTACTAATGTTTGTGTGAAGTTATTTTTGTCTAAGGATCAGCTCCTTAAAAGTCATACATCTGTTTATATCCCCAGTCCTCCTGGTTTGGGGTGATGTAATGGCAGGCAGATGTGAGCCTGGTGAGAGCGTGGTAGGTAAATCACCGCACCCTCTTCTGTGGAGGACGATACTCCCACCCCACCTATGGGCAGAGGCCTGCCTGCCTAAAGAGCGGGGTTACCATGCTGGAGTTCTCAGGAAAGGCACTGAGTGGTATTCTGAGTGTGTAGTGGTGGGGGCCTCAGACAAACTATGACAAACCTAGAAACAGATCCAAACACCAGCCAGGAAGATCCCCTGGGGCAATCAGCCACAGCCCCGCAGAACCAGCTTTAGAGCTGCTTACTTCTTAAACCCCCAAGTTCACAAGCTGCTTCCTTGCCTCAAAAATGAATTGCCCCTCAACAAATCAAAATGTCAAGATGGCTTTTCCTGAGTTGCGAATTTGTCAGAACTGTGAGTAGAGGGGCCTGCGAGTGTGGGAACAGAGTTAGGACTACGCCTTTCACACTCTGACAACGCCTCCGCCCAAATGGATGAATGATGAGGCTGTCACCAAGGTGACACTCACCCCTTCTCTCCCAAGCTCTTTAAAGCCCTGGTTTATTGCCATAAGACATCTCGGATAGAGCCTGGGGGTGGGGGTGGGGGTGGGGAGCAGGCAAGATGCTGAAGCTGCAGTCAGATTACTAAAGTTCCTTCATTTTAAGAATGATTGGGGGTCAAGTCATACACTGGCAATAAACACTGCACATCTGTTATATGTGCTGAGAGTTAAAAAGAAAAAAATCACTGACCTCTGATACTACCCATTTGCAGGGTCTAGCTGGGCAGAGGCGACTGAGCGCATCTCTCCCTCATCTGCTACTGCTGAAAGCCCACCTTCCCTCTTTCCTCACCTTTTTGCTCTCTTCCTCCCTCCCTCATGGCACTGGGAACCCAGAAAGGCTCGATAATATGCTTTTATTTCTGGATGCCCAGACTCCCCCTGCTATTTCAAGGGGCTCCTTCTCAAATCGAGGTATTAACCACTTTTTTGTTGTTACTCCTCACCAGAGGATATTAAAATATATATTGATTTCAGAGAGGAAGAGAGAGATAGAAATATCAATGATGAGAGAGAATCACTGATCGGCTGCCTCCTGTATACCCAACACTGGGGATTAAGCCCACATCTTGGGCATGTGCCCTGACCAGGAATCAAACTGTGACCTCATGGTTCATAGGTCAACCCTCAACCACTGAGCCACGCCAGCTGGGCCTGAGAATATTTTTCCATTGATTTTTAGAAAGAGTGGAAAGGAGGGGAAGAGGGAGGGAGGGAGGGAGGGAGAGAGAGAGAGAGAGAGAGAGAGAGAGAGAGAGAGAGAAAGAAAGATGGATGTGAGAGAAACACATTAATTGGTTGCTTTCCGCACGTACCCCACAGGGACTGGGATCGAACCTGCAACCCAGCTACATTCCCTTGACTGGGAATTGAATCCGAGATCCTTTGGTATGTGGGCCGACGTTCTAATCACTGAGCCACACTGGGCAGGGCTGGGGTCCACCACTCTGAGTCAGTTTGACATGCCAGAGGGTCAGAAGGGCCCTGGAGAAGGCCTGTGACCTCAGAGGCCTGCCCTGTACCTGCTTCATCCAGGCAAGGCAGCCCTTGCTGACCTGGCTTTGGCGCAGGAGGCCAGGGGCTTCCTGGCTGTGAGTCAAAGACATCACCTGGTACTTGCACACACTCAGACAAGCCAGAGGTCATAGGACAAGGGCACAGGCAAACAGGCCTTCCTGAGATCTCCAGCAGATAAAATTCTTGGCTCTTCCAGAGTATGTCTCAAGAACAGCCTGAGAAATGTGTATCAAAGGCCGTGAGGATTTTCACACCATCTGACCGATTCCACATCTAGAAATCTGTGCTGTGGAAGGGATCCACATAGAGAACTACGTGGATGTGCAAAGCACTGATGTGTGTGGCGGAACTGGAGACAACTGGAATATCCAACAGCCAGGGAAAGGCCAAGTAAATGCTAACACATCTAGATGATGCATTTGGGAGGGGACATAGCTGCCTGGAAGCTGGACAGGCTCGAGCTCCCAGGTCCCTAACACACCCCTGGGATCTGTTCTGGCTTCCAGAGCTCTCTCCCCAGCCTCACTAAAAACCTCCCCTAAGCCAGGTCAGGCATGATGCTCCAGAAGCAGGAGGACCTGTGCCAATGGAGCGCCGCCCCCCCCCCCCCAACTTTC